ACGGCGGAATCCTCGTCCCTGAGGCTGCTCATGGCCAGCGTCACCGAGCTCTGCCCGTTGTCCCTCGAGATCCTGAACCGGCCCCGCACCGATGGACCGTAGTAGGAGTTGGCACCATCGTTGTTGATGCCTGCGACAAACTCCAATGGCTGCCCGGGCCTCTGGCGCATCCAGAACATTCCAAAATTCCCGAAATCGAACCCGGATCCTCGGCAGAGCAACGTCAGGGACCCACCGGGGGGCTGGAGGTCCCCCCCGGACTCCAGCAGGGTCACGGCCGCCCGGAGCTCTGCGGGAACCAGGGGCCAAGAGTCAGGATTTGGGTCCATCCCGGAGCTTTTCCCATCCCAGAGTCAGGATTTGGGTCCATTTTGGATCTTTTCCCATCCCAGACTCAGTATTTGGGTCCATTCCGGAGCTTTTCCCATCCCAGAGTCAGGATTTGGGTCCATTCCGGAGCTTTTCCCATCCCAGAGTCAGGATTTGGGTCCATTCCGGAGCTTTTCCCATCCCCATCTCCCCTGGTTCCCGCAGGGCTCCGGGCGGCCGTGACCCTGCTGGAGTCCGGGGGGGACCTCCAGCCCCCCGGCGGGTCCCTGACGTTGCTCTGCCGAGGCTCCGGGTTCGATTTCGGGAGTTTTGGGATGTATTGGATCCGCCAGAGACCCGGGCAGGGGCTGGAATGGCTCGCGAGTATCGGCAGTGGTGGCACCACCAGATACGCGTCGTCAGTCAAGGGCCGGTTCACGATCTCGAGGGACAACGGGCAGAGCTCGGTGACGCTGGCCATGAGCAGCCTCAGGGACGAGGATTCCGCCGTTTATTTCTGCGCCAAACGTGCTGATTCTGGTGCTGGTTGGGCTGCTGCTGATGACATTGGTCATTCCCGTGGTTGGGGTGGTTTTGGCCTCACCCCCATCACCGTGTCCCCCCTGTCCCCCTGCCCCAGACCCTTCCGCCCAGCCCCTGACCCACTGCTGACCCTTTGTCCCACCTGGGACTGCTTTGGCCTCAAATCTCAGCTCTTGGCCCCAAATGCCAACTCTTGGCCCCAAATCCCAACTCTTGGCCCCAAATCCCAACTCTTGGCCCCAAATCTCAACTCCTGTCCCCAAATCCCAACTCTTGGCCCCAAATCCCATCTCTTGGCCCCAAATCCCAACTCTTGGCCCCAAACCAGGGCCGGTTCCACCCTGAGCTCAGCCTTGTCCCTCAAATCCCATCCGTTGTCCCCAGACTTGTCCCGTTTGGCCCCAAATTTCCGCTGCTGGCACCGAGTCACAGCCGCCGACCCAAACCTGCCCCACTGGCCTCACGTTGGGACTTTGGGCCCAAAATTCAAATCCTTGACCCCTCACCTCGACCTGGGCCCAAATCTTGAGCGATTTGATGAAATTTGGGGAACAAGGGAACCGAGCGTGGCCCTGAGGTGACATTTGGGGCAGAGGCCGGGCAGGGCCGGGCCAGAGGGGCA